CCGGGAGCTGTGGGCGAGGCCGAGGACTGGGAGCTGCGGCAGGGCTGGCCTCCCGCCGGGGGCTACTACACTGCGGCCGCGCGGACCGGGCTGTTTAAGGAGTGCGCACTAACGCGCTCACAGGTCATGGGCACCGCTCCCATGACCACCAAATGGCGTGGGAACATAACCTGCTCAGAGACACGAAAGGCAAGTGTCATGACTTTTAGAGAGATGTTGGCTCTAGGGTGCGTGTACTTGCTGGAAAGACAGAGAGAGACAGAAGTGAGAAATCACCCACCCCGGGGGATGGCCACGCCACAATCCCTTCTATCTCTGTTGAGTGAACAGTACATGTTCCTTTGGCAAAAACCTTAAAAAACAATTCCTGGGGCTAACAGGTGGTGTGGTGCTTAAGGTGCTGGATTCCCACATGGCTGACCAAGGTTCAAGTCCTGGACCCAGTGACTTGAGAACCATGCCAAGTTCAAGCCCCAAATTCTGAGAGGAGGATGTAGGTGAAGGAGTTGTGGCACGGCCATCCCCAGGGAGGTGATGTCTCGCTTTCTCTGTCTCTGTCTCCCTTTGAATGCACATGACCTAGGGCAAAAGAGAATTGTTAATTTTCTTCTCGATTGCAGCCTGACCACACCTCACCGTGGGGTGCATCCTCCCACTCTCTCCGTCCCTCTGTCTGTAGGCACATGCACCTTTTGGCTTATAAACAAAATTTTAAAATAACAACAATAAAAAATTCGTTCTCAAGTATTATTTCAAATCATACTCATAGCATTGCAATATCAGTTTTAAATATATATATTTTGTTTTACATAGACAAGTGTTCAACACACAAGCAGAGGGAACATATACCTTTTAACCCTATTCTGAGTGTTTCATCAAGCCCTAAAAATGACCCTTCAAGTTAATGCTTAAAACTGTGAAAAAAACTAACCAACCAAGTTATTAAAACCCTGAGGGCCTTGGCTTGGCACCTGCAGAAGAAAGAGGCCTCATGAGGAATAAAATCAAAGACGAGCTTACCTTTTTGAAGTCCACGCGACCCTCCTGAAGAGGGAAGAACTCCAGCGCCCTGTGTCCTACGAGAAACGGGAAACGTTCTCCGGTCAGCGGATCTGCCTGAGCACAGAGCTCACGGAGACCACTGTCGAAGGAGGACCGTAACCTGGCAGCTGTGACTGTTAGGGACGCCGGGGCTGGGACCGAGCTTGTGATAGCCTGCGATTCTCATTAGGCATGATTAGATGTTTACACTGTGCCGTTTTACCGGGAATACAACTGCATGGGGATTTACGCTACGGCTCCATGGCCTTGGGTAAGGTATTTAAGCTCAGGCCTCATGTAAAATTAAGTAAAAAAAAAACAAACAAACACACAAACGTAAGCCCTGCCTCACAGGGTTGCTGAGAGGATCACAGAAAATCCACGCTACGAGAGGCACAGGGCTGAGGCAGAGCTGTCGTCATCACATTTCAGCTCGGGGTCGAGGCAAACCAGTCTAAGGAGCAGGGACAGCACACAGAGCCCTGAAGTGCGGGCGGAAGCCGTGGCCCCCGAGTGGTTTCCATCGCCGGGCCACTGTGGAAAGGGAACAGTCGCGGGAGGCCACCTCCTCCAGCCACCACCACACGCCCTGCATCTCCTGGCATCATATGGTGACAGAGAGGGAGGCCTTATCTCTGGGGTGAATCACCCGTGGACGCCCCGAGACAGCCCAGCTGCAGCTCCTGCCTGACTCACGTACCGGAGCCACCGCACCAGCCAGTTCCGAGTAGCTACCGATAACGCACAACACCAGCTTCCCCTCAGGAGCTTCACAGTGAAAAGGTGAACACACACAAATCATCGGAGTGGGGCCAGCAGGTGGTGTGGTGGTTAGGTGCTGGACTCCCACATGTCGACCATGTTCGAGTCCTGGACCTGGAGACTTGCTTTCTCACTTTCCCTGTCTCTATCTGGTGCACACACGTGCTCCATGGCAAATTAAAAAATTAAACTACTAATACACAAAATTAAAATAAACCGTTATTTGAAAAGCCCATTAGAGTTCGTAGTAAATAAACTGGCGTCTGGGGCTCCTGTGCACAAATCCTCGGAATCTGTGCAGACCCATTTCGGGAGTCGCCTTCTGTTCTGCCCGCGTAAGTATTTGTTGCTCTTGCATGTGTGAGGATTTCGTCTGGCACGTCTGTGTCCTGACTGGCCAGTGTAAGCCCGAAGGACTGAAGTCTTCCTCGGTGTTTCTGCGTACAGCTGCTCCCCTTCCGCGCGCTGTGGCTGCGGCCACGGCCACCTCCAACTCCCCGGAGTCGGAGGCGGGAGCCACCGGAGGGTTTGCTGAGTGCTCCCCGGTCTCACAGGAGAGGGGGGACGGTCCTCGGGCGGTGATCATTTCACGTGTACTTACTGGTATCAAAACTTCACGCGCAGACCTTAAATGTGTACTTTACAGCTCAGTGACGTGGGAGGAAATACACTTAAAGAACCACAGATGTGGCCACCTACAGCCTGAAGCGCCACCTTCGGCAAGGTGGGAGTCCTGGGCCGGCTGCACCGGCCCTCCAGGGGGGACGGTCCTCGGGCGGTGATCATTTCACGTGTACTTACTGGTATCAAAACTTCACGCGCAGACCTTAAATGTGTACTTTACAGCTCAGTGACGTGGGAGGAAATACACTAAAAGAACCACAGATGTGGCCACCTACAGCCTGAAGCGCCACCTTCGGCAAGGTGGGAGTCCTGGGCCGGCTGCCCCGGCCCTCCTGCCCCATCGTCTAAGCACCTGTAGGGACAAGGACAGGCGCACTCCTCTGTTTCCTGGACCTTCCTAAGGCTGAGTGGAGGCCCCTCAGTGGCCCTTTCATGCCCTTGCAAGTGGCTTTTCCAAGAATGGAAGAGGGCGAGCCCCTCTCCCGCCTGGCGCCCACTTCCCATTCTCCGGGTACCAGGGCAACCTGCAGTCTCCCGCCTCCTCTCATGCCCCCCAGGGGGACGCCAGGACCCACGACCCGGGACGGAGGGGGTCGCTGGCAGCTGTGTGGCCTACTTGTCCTCCCTGGCGCAGCC